TTCTCCGATATTAAAGCCTGCTTGCTTTTCCTTGTGGGATACACTCGTTTTTCTTTTGATAGTAACGCATGTTTCCCCATTAGACAAACCTGTTTTACTATATGCATCAAGAAGTCCAACGACGCTGCGTCGTCGTCAGCTTCGCAAATTATCTTTTCACATGCGTGTCTCCACTCTGCAGGCAGGTGGTTTACCAAATGCAACTTATTTGATTTGGGGATTTTACTATTTTTTTAAGCATGAACTTCAGTTCTAAAGACTCAGCGAAGATTCTAGGAGATGCACAAACACTTGGAGGGAGGGCGCTGGAGGCCGGGACCAGGGCAAATGTTTAGATCAGCCACTGTACACATGGTTGCACAGCCCCAGCCCTCCACCGGGATATTTTGGGGGATATACCTTGATGAAGTGGGTGGCTTGTAGTGGGCTGACATCACCCATGAACACAACGTGGGCATCCCTGGATCTACAGAGACAGCAATACCCATCTTGTCTGTGATTCCACTAAGTGGAGTTTGGAAATTACTTTCAAAAAATAAATTATTCATTCTAGAATCAAGTTTTGTGTTTTGATCGCAACCTCTGAAAAATGACAACAATGGTAGTTGTTTCAGTATTTAAATCCTGAAAGAAAATAAAATCAGGAGGCTTTATGTTAATCATGCAAATTCATCCTGGGCTGAGTTATTAAATGTAGCTAAAGAGATGCAGGTGGCCAATGGTTCTCTGGGGAATACCAGGAGGGTAAGTACCTCCCCTTTATTAGATAAGCAGATTTTCCAGCTGCTTGTTGCACACGGAACTTTCCTGGGGGCTGAGTTTATAAAGCAAGAAGATACAGTGAAGCCGGGCCTGGTGACACAATCCTGTGATTGCAGCTTCTTGGGAGGCTGAGTCAGGAATTTCACAAGTTCAAGACCTCCCTAGGCTACAGAGTGAGTTCAAAGCCAGCCTGAACAACTTAGTGAGATTCTGTAAGACAAGGCCTTGGACATAGCTCAGTATAGAGCATTTTCTTAGCATGCAGGAGGGTGTTCGATCCCTAGCACCACAAAACAAAAAGGAAGACACATTTGATCATGCTGTTTATGCCCTGGCTTTCACCGAATACCTTGAATTTAAGAAGCAAGCAGTCAGCTTGCTGTGACAAGAGTACACAGGGCCTTGGCATCAGGACCCAAGTGTCCAGGAAGGGAAGGTCACAGACATGGGCCAAGATCAGTGGAATCTGCACTGCCCAGCCCAGTGTCAGCAGAACTGAACCTCTGTCCTGAGGCCAAGGCAGGGATGTGTTAAGACCCCAGTTCTGGAAACACCATGGCATTTATGTTTTTAGGGTACCATCACATCTGTGGTCAGAGAATGATGGCTGCTGTGTGGTTTGCTCACAATCACTATCAACATTCCCATGTCACAGAGAACACAGCATGTCACTCATTGGTGAGAAGCACATGCAGTCTGACCCAGCAGACCCCCGAGTCCACACTTTTCCAAGAGACCCAGATGACCAACAAAAAGTTCCCACTCCTCTTCCTATTCCTGTTCTTTAGGGAGTCAACACTGCAGGTCAGCAGGCATGGTGACTTGCTGAAGGGGAAGAGCCTTGAAGCGTGAACTGAGGCATGTCACATGATCTGTGCCTACTCTGCAATGGCTTAGGGCCTCTGTTTTGCTGACTGTGCCACTGTGCAGTGTTTAGAGCATCAAAGGCTCAGAGCTGAAAACTACCTGGTGATTATGACGGGGATAATGTAATTTCGTGTCCGCAGCCTTTGGTTCAGTTTAGACCAGGGCTTCTCAGCTCCTGCTCCCTTGGCAGTTTAGGCCCAATGTTCCGCTGCTGATGGAGGTGGGTAGTGCACAGCGGTGGTAGCCAGCAGCAGGCTTAGCTTCCCCCACAGGAGAGGAGGAGCAGGACTTCCTCCCAGTGTGACAGCAGCAGAGTACGTAGATGATGCCAATAAGCCTGTGGGGCTTCGCCATCCTGGCTGAGAAGTCTGCATTAGCCATTTCTGCCACCAATGGCAGTTTAGGCCCAATGTTCCGCTGCTGATGGAGGTGGGTAGTGCACAGCAGTGGTAGCCAGCAGCAGGCTTAGCTTCCCCCACAGGAGAGGAGGAGCAGGCCTTCCTCCCAGTGTGACAGCAGCAGAGTACCTAGATGCTTCGCCATCCTGGCTGAGAAGTCTGCATTAGCCATTTCTGCCACCGGTGCCCAAATCTTCTACACTACTGCCCAGTTATGTCCTCAAAGTCAAGGCTTGTAGGGAATGCAAAGGGAAGTCTTTAGTGCTTACTAGGCGCAGACCTCTGTAATCTGAAACTCCGCCTACAGGGCAGTTTTAGAGAGGAGGGAAGAGGTGTGGAACAGAGCAACCTTGCAGTGAATTACTCTCCCAGCTCATACTGCAGAGGAGGGGATTCTGCCTGTAGGGTGGGGCAGGGCAAGCCTCCCAGCAGAGGTAATAGGATGTCTTTCAGAGAAACTTACCCTAGCAGGTTAGAGAGATGTGTGCAGAGGGATGTGGGAAGGGGAACGTATGGGAAACAGGGAGCATAAGAAAATGAAATCCTAACCTTGATCCTATCTGTTTATTCCTTGGCTGTCTTGCTGTGTAGATTGTGTTAGAATGTATTGTGCTAGCACTCTGAAGGAGACCTTTCTTCTAGGGCAAATTTGAAAGAGAGCATTTTTACAAAAAGCAATTTACTAGTAATTTTTCAGCCTTGCCCCTGGTTAAAAACAAAATGTGTGTTTGAGAAACTTTGTCCAGCCACGCTGTTCATCATCCTGATTTGCCAGGAACTGCACTGAAATAATTGTCCTACATCACTGCTCGTTTGGAAAGATATTCTGAGCGCTGGACCCAGCCATCATACTCATAAAAACAGACCCGAAGAATTAATTGTTGGTGGTAAAATCATAATAGTTAAAATTCTCAGCTCTTCTTTGCTTTACAGAGTCACTAAGTACATAAAAATCATTTCCTTCATACTGAAATAGATGATAGTAAATAACAAGATGTTTCCCCACTTTTGGCTGTACAAGGGATGGAACCCAGGACTCATACACACTGGACAGATACCGTACTTCTGAGAGACAGCCTCAACCCCATGCAAGGTTTTTTTTTGGGGGGTCCTTTTTTTTTTTTTTGAGACAGGGTCTCCCTGTAGCTCCAGCTGGCCTAGAACTCACTATGTAGACCAGGCTGGCCTTGAACTCACAGAGATCGCCTGCCTCTGCCTCCTGAGAGCTGGGATTAAAGGCGCGCGCCACCAGACCCTGCTCCGATGCAAGATTTTTGTTTTTTAATTATGTGTGTGTGTGTGTGTATATGCATGTGAGCGCAGGTATCCACTGAGGCCAGAAGAGGGCACTGGCTCCCCCTGGAGCTGGAGTTACACATAGTTGTGAGTGTCCCCACATGAGGGCTGGGAACTGAACTGTGGTCCCCTGAAATGCAGTACAAAGTCTTACCTGCTGAGCTCTCTCTCCAGCCTAAGCCTTGTAAAATTCTTAATCTGCTCCATTTGTGGAAAGTAATAACTGAATTCCCTACATTCCTTGGATTGGGAGTACCATCTGCAGCTTTATTCTGTTGACTTATTTTGGCTTCAGATGGGTTTTTGACAGATGAGCAACATTTTCAAAGCTTTGAATAGAATTTTCCTAGACACTAGGATTGCTAAGGTGGGAACATCTTTTCAGGGTGTTCATTTATAGTGTGTTGGGATAATCACACTTTAAATTTTTTTTTTTTTATGAAAGCCAATGTGTTGGGGGAATCAAACTTTAAAAGTGTGTTTGGGAGGTAAGTAGGACCTTAGCCCTCCCCTAGCTGGCAAGTGAAAGTATAAGTCACCGTCGTCCTGTGAGCATTCTGTGCCACCATGTGCACGTCTCTATTTTGTTTTAAACTATTTTATTTCTCATTATGTCTGGGTGGTGGGTATGTGAATGTGAGTTCAGATGTCTGCGGAGGCCAGAAGAGGGTGTTGGATGCCTTGGAGCTGGAATTACAGGTGATTGTGAGCCACCAGTTGTGTGTGCTGGGAACTGAACCCGGGTCCTCTGCATGACCAGTACGTGCTGAGCCAGCTCTCCAGCCCTGCCTTGTACTGCCCTGTGCTAACCAGCTTTGTTCTTCTCCCGGCCACTGTGTACTCACCAATTTTCATCCTTCCCCTGTGCGTTCAACGTGCATCTTCTCATTTGACCCTTAGGGCAGCCTTGCTGGGAGGTGCCATTGCTGTCCTAAACTACCATAGATTGAGACTCTGGAGCAAACACCTTTCTTTTGTAACTTAACCAGGGTCACACAGCCACTGCTCTGCACCTTAATTCCTTTTGCTTCCCCACACACAGAAGCACTCCCCCTAGCAGAGAAATGTGTCCCGGGTGTGATTCTTGGTTGACATCAGACAAGCCATGTGTGGTGGTAGCACATGCCTGTTATTGCAGTGCTCAGGAAGCAGGGCGGGGGGGCGGGTCATTGCGA